TTTTTTTGGCGTCTTTTTGTGTTTTGCGGGAAAAGAAAAGAGAAAAGAAGAAAATTACTGGTGTGAAAATTTGATCAAAAAGATTTTTTTGTGTGTGCATTTTTTTCTCTTTTGTAACTGTTTTTTAGTTGCGATTACTATGAACTAGAACTAGTGAAAACGAGTGGAGAACTAGGTGTTCTAAAGTATTGGTAGTTAAACTCTGTTGTATCTATTCTGTTATACAAGAATTTTGCAGAACGACCAGAATGAAGAGATGGAAGTCTTAATTAATTGTTGTTGTTGTTCATGCCGTTGTTTGAGTTTTATACATTTACAGTGCATTTTTTCCGGTGTTGGTGGGAATTACAACGGAAAAGATGTGTAAGGAAAAAGCAAAGTGTCAAGATGAACTTTGCTGTTAAGCCTTATTGTACCATATGTATCATGAAAGCTTTGAACGTATTGCTTCTTGAAACCATAGCCTGATCTGTAAATACACTCGCCAATACCGGATATAGGTGTGCTGATGACGATGGTAGATAATGACGGTAATGACAGCTTTTAAATGGGACTGAGGAGAAAGCCTGAATATGACCACAGTTTTGAATTCTAATGAAAATTTTTATTGTTGCATGGAAAAGATCTGCGCTCTATTAGTTTTGACTAGTAGAAAAGTTAACAGAAAAAAAGAAACAAACAAAAAACTAATTGCTTCTGCTCCATTGATCCTATTAAATTCAGCATTTTTTTTTTCTAGGCTTTAGTTTATATCTAATAACACATTTGAGAATCACGAGCGACAGTAAATAAGTGTGTATGTGTTTGTGTGTTCGTAGGAATAAAAATGAAAAAAATGGTATTTATTTAACTACAGGGTTTAAATTTTGAAATGGACATACAGAACAATTTTTTTTAAATTAGTGGGTCACTTATAACTTTTACTAAACTTCGGAGTTCGCGTTTTTGTTACATTTGATAATCATTAGGCACAAATAAACCAAAATGTACTGCACTGGAAAAACACGTTTTTTTTTTCCTGCTTTCATTATGGAGGTTTATACTACGTTGTTACTGTTGCCAAAATGCGATAGTAGTCTATGCCTTTCCTGCCTTATCTTTCGAATAATATGGTTTATGTCAATAGAATATTCGGAGATTTCTTCCTTTCAAATTTTATTTGACTTACACATTGATTTCCTTTCTATTTTGGAGGGAATTACAAAATCGTTCTGTCTGCTGTCCTTGTTTCGTTTATTTATTCATTTATTTTATTTTATTTTTATTTATTTATTTTTTTTTTTTCAGGATGATATCGTAATAATTTCTTACTTTTAGGGTTCAAATGCCAGTGATCGTGCTGAAAGTGTCCGTTCGTCGTCGGAATCTCAGAATTCGCCAAAACAGTCTCAGTCTCCACCATATCGATGCGATTTTCCAGCCACAAGTTTCTGGAATAATCCCGTCGAAGATCCGTTCTCTTCATCAAATACTACAAATTCCTTATTTTCCCCGTCTTCCCACAATTCGTCTACCTTTAATGCGTTTCGAAGTGGTAAGGAACAAACTCTACAACAGCAAAAGCAACAGCACCAGCCGCAGCATCAGCAACAACAGCAGCACCAGCCCCAGCATCATCACCATCAGCAACAACCACAACAACAACAACAGCAGCAACAGCAGCGGGAGAACAACAACAACAACAACAACAACAACAACAACAACAACAGCAACAACAACAACAACAACAACAACAATCGGTGCTTTACGAAACCGGAGACCGGGAATACAATTTGATCCAGGCAATTTTTAAAGAATTTACGTGTCATTTTATTAATTTTCTTTGGCAAATTATTGTAAAACTTCACATTTTTTACACTTATGCTCTGGTTTAAAACCTTAATACAAATTTAGGAATTGCTGAAATTAAATATGGAAGGATGCTCAACATCAGAACCTACATTGGCTCCATCACCTACATTTGTGCCTCCCTGTACTGCTCCGAAACCAGCGAAGATTGTGAATCCGAAACCAGTTCTTCCTCAGGCGCCTTCAAATGCTCCGTTCCCTCAGACGAATAATGCGGATGTTACATCATTATCTCATACTGCCAACTGGGCGCCTCCTCCAATTGCAGCGCCAAACACAACTATGCGTAAGTATTACGTTTCGCTCTAGTACCTTGTTCCCGTTCAATTTTAAAGTTGTACCTAAAGATAAAATCCGATAATGAATATTTGTTTTCTGGTAAGTCAGCACTGTTTAGCCGTTCCTCGACCAATAATTGGACAGCAACAAGGGTTTATGCGTAATGATAGAATTTCTCATGATGAAAGTGAACTAGAATTGCTTTCGGCAGAAATTCTTCGACAGCAGGCAATTTATGAGCACATCTATAGCCTGATTATGACTGGAAAGTTACCTGTTCCTCCACTCATGCGAATGTGGAGCCCACAGGTTTGCAAAAATTTTTCGTGGAATGGTTAACTTTTCGTCATTAGAAATTTTTGTAACATTGTATCCTTTTTTTTCGAAAATTTAGGTGCGGCCTTGTCAACGCCGTTCGGCAGTTGCTTTAGAGTTACATGTCCGTCTTGAGGAGTGTTCCGAACAGTATCGTCAGTTAGAGAAAGAACGTAAGAAAACAGAAGCAGAATTGGCACGACACAATTTAGGCAAAAAAATTTCCTCAACAAACAATATGCCTATACCGCGCCTGGCACAGGCACCATCACGAATTGATCGCTTAATCGTTGATTTTTTCAGGTGATTTATGTTTACGGTTGTACTTTTCTAATAGTAA